GTTATAAGTGGTAGCACAGGCCTGACCCAGAGAGGTGACTCTCGCACTGTGAAAGGTTCCACGTGCTGTCCTCGTCACAGCCAGGCTAGAAAGGCTGCTACCGCCTGGGAGTGGCCCGTCATTAGATCAATGCCATGACCTGGGCTAGGGGAGGTTAGGGTCCACATCAGTGTGCCGAAGGACAGACAGCCTAATGGACAGTAAATATCTCACTAGCTTCAACCATTAATATGAAGTGTCACCTTTCGCCCTATCAAATTGTTTTGTTTTTATTTTTCTTCCCTATTATTGTACCATGGCACAGAAGGAAAACAATATTTCTATCACGTCACTAGCAGATTTCGTGCACGTGGTAGGTCCCAGATTATAACAACTTTCTTCTTTTGTCTCTCTTTCATTGAAATGAGGCGACCTGTGTCTGTTGAGTAAAATTGTCCCCACCCTAAGACAAAACTTAGGAGGACAATGTGGGTGATCCTATTTTAGACATTCATCAGGCTTTTTTAAAAAATTATTTCTCATAAGCCTTCCAGAGCGACAGGGTCAGTCTCTCTCCTGGCCTGCAGGAGAGGCCAGCACCCCCCCAAGTCAGCTGTTTCTATTTCCAGCTCCCCAAGTCCAGAGAGCAGTAACCTCCGCCTCTCTGAGGGCCACGCAGCCAGCCCGCCCGCAGCACGGGGCCTGCAGGCTCTCTGCATTTCCATTTCCATAAATTTACATCGAATTTGTGCTGAATCATATCCCCCCCATGCAGAAGAAATGAAATACATTATCAATAAGTACAACAAATTTGAATAATCTGAGCGGAGCAACTTTCCCTGTCTCTTTTCCATTTAACTCCTTCTGTGGACCCCAACTTGGTCCAGGCCCCCCTACAGCCTGGGGCTGAATTTCTCCCCATCCACCTGCCGGGTGCCTCCTGCGTCAGGCACCCCAGCCTTGCCTCTCGGATCCTTCCTCGCCTCCTCCCGCTGTTTCCTGGCTCATCCTCCGCCTTCTAACATCTCGCTGCCCGGTCTTGGAGTCCTTCATCCACCCAAGAAGCTGCCCTTTCGCCTCCGTTCCTCCTGCCCTGTCTCCTGCAACACCCAGGCCCATCACGCTGGAGCCTGGGCCCCCTGGGATGACAGTCGCGGGTCCCCAGCATGCCGGGCTGTCATCAGCTCCACTCGGTCATTTTGAGCAACCTTGGTGGTGGTTCAGTGGGGAGTGGAACTTCCTTCCATCCCCTGCTGCCCGGCTGATTGGCAGCCAGCAGGCCTGGAGGGGAGCTGCGCGCTTCTGATTGTTCGCTGCTGGGCAGGGAGGGCTTAGTGGTGGCAGCGTGGAGGGGACCTGAAACTCAGAGGACTGACAGAGGCTCTGAGACAAGCACCCTGCCAGAGTCCCTGTCTGCCACCCTGGGGTCTGGCTGCTGCCTGTGTGTAGGAAAATGATGGATGCGGTCCCTCCCAGGGTATCCCTAGGTAGGGGGAAGGAGGGGGCTAGTGGTCCAGGGAACCTCAGGTCTCAGGGTTCTGCAGAAGGCCTAGCTGTAGTTCCCACCCACAACTGCAGTCCCCAGGCCCTGGTTACAATCAAGAGCAAAGGATGTCATCTAGGAACCAGGCCATGGGGGCGCCTGGCAGGACTTGTCAAAATGGCCCTCCGTTGACAAGAGCAAGAACTGGAGACCTTGGCTCACACAGAGCTAATTAAATATACGCACACATGTTTGCACACACACATGCACACACCATTATAAACCACGGTCATGGTGCATATTGTTTTTCCAGACTGAGATTTTTAATCCAGGAAGGAGAAGTGTGTGTGGGGGGGAAATGGCCATGAATACTGTCCCAATGCTATAGTTCAGAGAAAAGCCAGCCAGAACCCCCTTGGAGGCTTGCTTCGTTTCCTTTAATGAGGACTCTGACAGCCGGAATTTTGCTTGGGCAGCCAGAATTTGAACTGAAAATACTGTCTGCAGAAGTTGTTTCAAAAGCTTTAGGGCTTCCCCGTGTGTCTGGTGCTGCTGGGACTTGGTCAGCATCATCTTGCAAGTCACTAGAGAACCCCTAAGGAGAGGCTGAGGTGTCAACAGTAAGTTCAAGGTATCTTTTCTTCCCTGGTCTCCCCAGAGATTTTTGTTTCGTTTTGTTTTCATCAGAATGTGTTGGTTCAATTTCTTAGATTAAGGTATTTTGGAGTTTCCACATCTAAAACCTTCTCAAACTTGTAAAAGTGAGAAGCATCCTTCAAAAGCTTTCTTCTCCCACTAAAGGTGCCTATAAATAAATCAATACAACCAGCCGTGGGGCTATGAATACATATGGAAAAATTGAGCCCCTAGAGATGGTTTTTCAGAAAGCAAAGGGGATGTAGAAACAGAGGCTAAAGCCAGGTGGCAGGTGACGGTGTTTCCACGGAGGTGAAGGTTTCTCCACGTGCCGGGGAGGGTGGAGGCTGGCCACGCTTTAATTTCTCTTCCCGGTTTCATTGTTAAATACCTTAATACCCTCCTGACTGACTTCAGGGAGGGAAAACAAACAGGGAAAGGGGAGACCCAGAGCCTTGTCTTAGAGGCGTGCAGTCTCGCATGTGAAGATGCCCCAGCTCCCAGGAGCTGGTCGATGGTCAGCCGCGGAGGCTCGGAAGCAGCAGTGCTCCTGAAGGGCTCAGCTGACTCCCCGAGGAGCTCTCCTACCTGAACACCCGCGGAGAGCGGGGTGCAGGCAGGGCGGCGGGGCCAGGCAGATGGCCCACATTCTGCCCACCTTTCTGACAGTCCATTTCACCGACAGGTCAGGGGGAAACCAGACGGTCTACCAGAGGGCACTCTGCTGGCAGACAGACAGTAAGGCGCTTTCTCGGCAGGAGACAGCGGGCTGTTAGGGACGAGGGCTCAGCCCGGAGTCAGTTATCCCGAGATGTGCAGCTCGGGGATGACCCCTTCTCCGGGTCTTCAGATTAAACAGAGAATGACTTAGGGAGCCCAGAATTTCCCCAGGAAATCGGAAGCTGAAGCCAGAATCCAGCCTCTTCTTTTTCTGTTCCTGTTCCCCAGAGTGTTAGTTTGCAAACCCCCCAGGACAGGGTCCGTGGCCTGCTTGAGCCTGAACTGCCTTAGGAGGGGAGCACGGCGCGTGTATACCACAGGCACAGAATCTGTATACCACTGTGCCGGCTCTGGACCCGCTCCTCCTTAGAGCCCCCGCCTACCAGAATCTACCGTAACTTCCTTAGATGAGGATCCAACTAGGGGATTTTTTTAAAGGTTTTTTTCCATGGGACATGTGCATTTGCCAGAGAGACAGAGAGAGGGAATGTGAGCAATCACTTCCTGGGGGGAGGTCCACACCACAGTCCCCTCTCCAATCTCCTAGGGATTTGGGGCACGCACACACATGTGCCCGGTGTGATTTTCAAACTGCCAGGTCCAGGACTCGAACTGTCTGTCGCCCATGTGAGTGTCCAGTGCCTTAACCCTCATACCACCTGCTGGCCCCAAGGGACTGTTTATAAAGGCTGCCAGAAAACGCAGACATTAGTACCTTCCACACAGTCCGTCTGTTCCGAGTGGGGCATTCATCCATGCGGCCGACAGACGCTCCTGGAGCACCTACTAGGTGCCAGCGTTGGCCCCAACGTACCCGGACGCGCCTGGCGGAGCTCACATCCTACCGGGGTCGGAATGGCTGCACTTGGGGGTTCGCTTCTCGCGGGGACACAGCCCCGGCCGCGCTGGGAGCGGCGGCGCTGGGTCGGGGTGGCC